ACAGTCGAGTGTCAAGCGGATTCACCCGACTATTGGACTGTTGCGTAATGATGCTCATGGTTCGAAGTTGGGATCCGCAAGCCCAGAGCGAAGATGACTGAAGCCCGATGGCTGTGCATTCCCTGCACTGGCAGACAGTATAAGCCTGTTTCAGGCGAAACGACCTCAGTATGTACACAGTGACGTGGCTGTACTCTTTCAATGGACGCCCACCACCACAACAGTTCTTACTCCGTTGTGGACTTTTTGCAGGAACTTGCCGAGCCTTACATTCGGAGACGGGCAATCCGCCACCTCGAAAAAGACCGCGTCGTCATATTCGGCGCTGGAACAGGCAACCCATTCTTCACAACGGACACTGCTGCATCATTGAGGGCGGCAGAAATTAATGCAGAGGTCTTCTTGAAAGCAACAAAGGTATGCTGCACACACGTGCCGTTTCGTGCTGGTCAACCAGTGAACGGCAATAAATGTTCGATTGCTGTTTTTAAATGGACGACAGTAGTGCTGTGCATGTCTACGCATGCTAGTAATGTCAAGCGCCTTGCGCTGCTTTCGAATCCGCGCTTCCACGCTGTTCTGCCAGTCAGTTGAGGAGTCGATCAAGATGCCGATTGCATGGCAGTCAAACGTCGAAAGGCACAGTACCAGCAGCGGGCACAACAGATGGCAAGCACCTCAGAGAAAGCCCCAACCCACAGAGCTGTTGGTATCCAACGAGTTGATTTGCAACACAGCCACAACGTCTGAGCCCCTGTCGCCCGGTCATTGCCGCGCTCTGCAGGTGGACGGCATCTACACCAGCGATCCCATGGACGATCCTGCCGCCCTCCTGCTGGAGCACCTCTCGTATGAGGACGTCCAACTGCAGGGCCTCCGGGTGATGGATGAAACAGCCGTGACGCTGTGCAAGGAGAACGACATCCCGGTCGTCATTCTCAGCATCTCCCAGCCCGGCAACATCCTGAAGGCCATTATGGGCGAGCCCGTCGGGACACTGGTGGATTGGCGGCCCACAGAGGCGCCTCGCCAGCCTGAACTGGTACAGTTGGAAGCCAATGGCGCAGGTTTGGAGAACAGCCGATAGCATTTGGATGTCTACAAGTGCCCGTGGACGCAGCTTGCATGGGTAGGTCGTGGCTCGCAACTGCCGCGCCGTCACATGCGGCGTAGTAAGGGCGGGCATTTGGTGAGGCAGAGGATGTGGGGTGGGCACGAGTTTGTAGGTCGCTGGATGAGGAAATTCGATGGCCAATTGGGGAGTGGGGTGGGGTGGGGTGGGGTGGGGATTGTCACGTGTAACAATGGAATCAAGAGTTTCGGGCCGCACGGCAGGCGATGTCACATCCAGACACCTTGGATTGCGGACAATATACTACAGTCACACTGTATTCAGTAACATGTCTGACAACAAACATGGCTACTTGCGTTGACAAGCCACGGCATAGAAAACCACCTGCTTGCCAGCATATTCTGCATGCGTGTTGCACACGCTGCTGACACAGATCGCCTATTGTTACATAGTGTTCCCACGGCAGGCATGCAGACCTCCTTTGGTCAGAGCGCACACCACCAATGTGCGTCAAGCATTAGCCACCAGCCGACGCTCGACGCTAAAACGCAGCAGCCAAATCTCCACTTGTGCTGACCCCGTGCCATCGATTTGGAGTGCCCCAGCATACCGGCCCGGTGGCCTGCGCACCGTTCATGGTCTCGAAGCACTGGCTCAATTGCGTCCCAGGCCCTTCATCGTCTGCTCGGCATCCAGCATGTTCGGTCAGTGATTTGCAACAACGCCGCACACATGCACTCCCCAGGTGATACGCCGCCACCCACTCTCGCCGCTCTTGCGCTTCCGCACTTCCATGCACTGCCTTACTTCCAGGCAGCCCGCCATGCCGGGCACGCGAAAGAATTCGCCGCCAACGAATCCCAAAACCGCCACCGCATGATGGTCGTCTCCAGCAATCCCCTCACTAAAGAATTCGAAGAAAGGAAAGTACAGTACATAAAGTTACACGAGGATGCCAGGATTATTCTCTCATTCCCATCCCGATCAACTCTTCCGCTCGGCTGCTTTCGTTTCTATTCGCGTCCTCGGCGCTGGCTCCGCACTTCCATGCAAACAGTTCAGTGGAGGGCACGGCGTTCGACTGTCTGTGTCCCCGCACACGTTCCCAAACTTCAACCCCACACGCTTGGGTCGGCTCATCCACTGCAGCAACGGCGTCCGCCATACATGAGTCCACTGCACCCGGCCGCCCCTCGCTCTCTCCGCCCTCAGCCAGCCAGCACTCACTTTCAATACTTCAGACATGCTCTTGTCGAAGCAGGCCCTTGAAAAGTCACGTCCTGCGCGATTCTACACTTCTGAGGCAAGAACGCAACATATTCTACAGGGCACCGACCTCCTCCAGTAGGTGCCGTATGACGTTCTTGCCGCACAGCAGGTTGGCCCACCGGATACGCTCGTTGGCCAAGTGGCAGTTGTCAGAGGCCTGGCCCATGGGGATGTGCATGGCAGGGGCGCCAAGAACCTTCTCGAAGGTGGATGTCAGGGGCATGGTGCCGCCCTCGCGCACGTAGAGCGGGTCTTGGCCCCACTCTCTTCGGATTGCCCTCTCCGTCATCTTGACGAACTTGGACTCCAAGTTGGCCTCCCACCAGTCTCCGGCCGTCACCACTGCAATGCTGATCTTGTTCTTGGAGCGCAGTTTGGCAAACTCGTGCTCGACGTGCTTCCTGAAAAGCCGAACAACATTATTGTGTCAAGCAACACACTAGGTGCGTGGCCCTTCGAGGGCACTTTGTTCAGCCTGAGAACCGGCGAGTCTCAGTTGGGGCATTTGGCCGCCAACCAGACCTCGACGCCACGCAGGAGCCCACCGCCAACCAACGGAGCAGCTGCAGAGTGCCGCTCTCCCATACACAGTTAGAACTCAATAAGAACATCTGAAAATTTTGCGACAAGGCACACAGAGGAGTTGATCGCCCAAGACGTCAGCAAAGTCGTCAGGAAGGAGCTCCCTGGCGCACGTGATTTCCCTACGTTAGGCAGCTCGCCATGGCGTCCTTGTCCTGCTTGGGCACGAAGCGCATGCTGACTTTGCCCACCACTGCATGGGGAATGACGGAGAATCGCGTCGGGCCGAATCGGTGGTAGCTGCAGGGACCCTCGGAATCCACAGGCCTGGCACAGACGTCGACGATGGACAGCGTCGGCTGGCACCACCGGACGGACAGCAGCTGGTGCTTGGACCCCTGTGGCGTAAGAGCTGGCACGCCCAGGGCCTCCTGAAACAGGCAGGCACAGTGCGTGAGAGAGTCTTTTGACCATCATTGTTCAAAGTCGCAAATCATTTTCCCTGCAGCTTCAGGGCAACGTGCGAAACAGTGCCAGTCCACAATGCGGCGGCAACAGAAGACAGTGAGATGCGGGACGATGGAGAAACCAGCTGTGGATACAGTAGTCGCCACATGAATAAGGGTAAAGGTAAAGGGCAAGGGGAAAAAGGGAAAAATATAAAAGGAGAAAAGGAAGGCACCGTTCTTCCGCAAAAACTAGCAGTCACAGACAGTGCTTCCATTCATGATTGTTTCTATCACAGATTCACAGTTCCATCTCGACAGCAAGAGGTCGCTGGTGGCGTTGATGCGGGGGTCAATGCGACCCAGTCGTGCCCAACGCTGTTCCTGTTGCGGACTACTGTCTATTGAATTGAACGACAAGCGTTGCACAACGGCCACCCCCTCGTCAGGACGGACAGTGCCGTGCGGCTTTTTTGTGCTGCATGACGCAGATGCGTCTGAGCGAAACATGAACATCTCACGGCAAAGAGCACCACGGACGCCAAGATCACATGCGCCCAACGAGAGCCCACGGGCTGGTGCGATGGTTGAATGCTGTACTCCGACTTGCCTTGTAGTCGTCAAGGGCGAATTCGTTGGAGTCCTTGAGGCTCTGCCAAGCGGCATCCAGCAGGGAGGGCTTCACACCGTCATAGAAGTGCGGCACCTGGATGTTGTTCTGGCTGTCCACAAGGGTGGAAAGCACCTTGATGAGGTCTGCCATTGGTTCATTGAACACGCCTCCGTCGTTTCCAGAATGCAAGTCGCGGTTCGGACCCCGTACCTGAAGCAGGCGTAATGCCAAACAGAGATTATGTGCCAAGCTTCGACATAACATTACAAAACTTGAATGGCTAAGGGCGGAACGCAATGGTGTCAAGGATTTTAAAAGGACGACCAAGGACCAAGTGTAAACACGGTGATGGTGGGCGCTCAGATGGGAAGGCGTTTGGTCAAATCGCGTCAATTGACTGGCATGTTCCTGTGCCCAATGACAAAGGCAGGAGGTGCGTTACAAAGACGGCCGCACCCATCAGCACCGAGCCCACTTTCCCCCACGCTTTGCCACTGCCATTTTCATGTGATCTTCGTGTATTTGAAGGGCACCCTCACACTGAAAAGGCAGACCTGGGCACAATAGATTCGCAACAAATTTACCATGAGGAAATGGAGCAAACCCCACTGACTAAACCCCACCAAGAAACAGCAGCTGCCAGCGCGCTCACCTCCAGATTGAGCGACACCATGCCCCTCATGCCATATGTCAGGCATGGCACGTTTTCTCCCACCCATTGGGAATTGCTGATGACAGTGAGCACCGTCCCCTCAAACCACCTCAGGTTCTGCTGCAGCGCCTCCACTGTCCCCTTGGACCCGTTCTCCTCCTCGCCCTCAAAGAAAAACGCGACATTGACTGGCAAGCCTTCGCAGCCATTGGACTCCACCAGCATCTCCCTCACAGCATGGATGAACGCAAGGATCGGACCCTGCAGCACAAATTGACCAGGAAGCGCAAGAACTAAGGTGCAGACTGTATAGAGGGATTGTAGCACAGAAAGATTGGAGACACAATCATTTGGGACACGCATTCACAATGAGCAACTGTAGCTCGGCCACGCAATTCTGCAGGATGCACACTTGAGTAGCAAGGTTTCACATCCATGCCTGTGCGATGGCTACAACTGGTATAAAATGGCCAGTGTATAACCCCTTCCCCCATTCCCTGTGAACCGACCCCAGCACTGTGCACATGTGACTCACCTTGTTGTCCGATACGCCACGCCCATACAGGTATCCGTCAACAGCGTGGACCTCAAACGGGTCTGTCCGCCACTGGGGCTCTGATGCGGGCTGCACGTCATAGTGGCCATAGAAAGTGACAGTGGGTCGGTCCTGCCTCTGGCCTAGCCTGCCGATCACAACGGGGTTCTTGTCATCTAGGACGCGGACAAGTTTCACTTCCGCCCCCAGGTTCTCCAGAAGCCGTGCCACAAATTTCGAAGCCTTGAAGCAGTCCTCCTTGCAGCACATGTTGCCGCTAATCTGCACAGTGGCACAACAGCCATTATGTCGGATCATTTGGTCTGACTTCCACCCCTGGTCACGTGATGCAACCTGTATTTGCGACCATTTGTCCTGTTTCTGATCTGTTCCTCGTTTGGATGTGCCCCATTCACTGGCATCCACAATTTCACTTTATGTACACAATTCCCTGGACTACAGTTATTGAAAAACCCAGTGAAAAACAAGGCCCTTGCAACTTGCAGGCCATCTTGAGTGCAGGAATGCCCAAACAATGTTGGTTCGTGGCACCATGTTCTCATTTGTTAGCCACACAGCTGCAAACACCACTGTTCATGAGGGGCGGTGTTTGGTGCTACCTGTGTCCATCATTCTGCAAATACGATCCGTGAAGAGCCAAAACGCCATTCCTGTATCTATCAAAAGCACAATAAAAAGAAGGCGTTGCACCTTGAAGGCCATGGAAAGCACAGCCACATCCAACTCAAGTTTGTTCGATCCCCATGCAGTCATACAACCGTGAACTGCACCAGCTGATTGACAAAAGCTGAGCTGCATTTCTGGCTTGATCCAGGTAAAAAGACAATAGACAAGTCCCCCACTAGAAGCATAACCAAAGGGACGTCATGGAATGAGGAGCCAAAGGATGGAAGTGCAGAAACCTGATATGATACCCGGACATAATTTCTGAACTGACACATTCTTTGAGCAGATAATCTTTCTCAGTTAAGTAGTGCAGCATTACACCCAGGCAAAAGTATGATACATTGTGATTTCCCTTTGCTACACTTGTTGCAAGGACCTTGACTTTGTCATTCATGGCCAGCACAATCACGAACGCTCCCATCCAAGCTGACTCCAAACAAAGCTGCAGCTCACCGTCCTTATAGCCACAAACTCCCGCAGCAGGTTGCCCAGCTCCCTCTCCAGCCGCCTCTTCTCCAAAGCCACCAGATCCCCCGTGGACCCCTCCAGCGAGCCGCTGTCCACTGACTCCAACAACTCTTTCCCATTCAGGATCTGGGCCTCAATCTCACCTGAGGCGATCTTTTGCAGCTTCTTGCTCAAATCCTCCCCTGACCACAGGCTGATCATGCCATTTCGTGTCCCTGTGATGATGTGTTGCTTGCTGACAGCCACTGCCAGGGGGGCTGCATCTGACGAGTAGCCATTGGGGACATAGGTGGGGCCGGCCGCTGGGCCAGGGGTCCTGAGGTTGACGATCAGGATGCAGGACCATGTGGCAGGGCACCTGAACGCATCCACAGCAGCTGAGTTCTGTCATCCCCTTGGGAGGTGTGGGGGAGTGCACCACCATCTTCTGGCAACTGTAAAACTAAAGCAAATTGGGCCCACCCAAGGATCGGTACAGGTGAATTGAATTGGCGAGCGTTGCATTCTGGAATGAGCTGTGCGTGGGTCAAGTCTCAAATACCATTGTTGCATAATCGCTGCATCAAACACAAGAGTGTACTGCATATCAGCTTTCTCTTTGAGTTGAATGAATGGCAACTGTGGCTGTTGTTGCCCTACTGTGCAGCAACTAATGGTGTGAGCACACACAAGTGTATATGCATATAGATAAGCAATGTTTTCAGGAAGGATGACACACTTGCAGCTGTGTAGTTCACTGTTGCTGACAGTATTCTGAATCCCCTGTGCCCTTTACTCACCACACCCTGACAGTGCAGTCCGCTGATGCTGATGCAACAAAGCATGCGTGGCCCATCTGATGCAAGGATGGAGTGTGTCGGTGCTTGCCCAGAGAAGCATCCTTCCTTGGCTCATGGTAAGCAGAAATATGTGTGATGTCGTCCTTGTGACCAGCCAGCAGCCTTCTGCACAACAGCGCCTCCATATCCCATACCCTGCGTGCATCCACAGGGCGATGTTAGAGTGCAAACGCAAACCAGAGACATAATAAGTTTATTCAGATCAGCCCCTGTGCCAGCATATTATAAGTGAACGCAGCTGCAGTTGGAACCAGCAGCGGACAGTTCTGCTTGGGTGCAAGTGTTTGTACTTTGCCATATATGCATACAACATAAATGCAATTGGCACGGGACTCTGAGAGAAATCCAAAGGGCTGCCGCATACTGGAAGCAGATCGATGAGCAAAGATTCACAGAGTGCATACAAGACGTAGTTGCTTGACTCACACTTGCAAGCATATTTACAGGCAGCAGTCTTTGCTGCAGTTTACCCCTGCATCAGGATGCAGCACTTGCGCCTGCCAAGGAAACTGGGCACATTTCAAGACGATTCTGTTTCCACACCATGCATCACTCACACAGCCCTCTTGCTGATTGCATTGGAATCCAATCTTTCATTAAACTGATGGTTGGTGGAACCACAGATCCTCTTTGGACAAGGCGGCAGCAGGAACCTCCATCAAGATGCCAACATTCCACACATCATAAGCACTGAAAAGACCGAGGATTTCGATCCAAACACAGAGAACCAGGCCCTTGGTACCTGCGCATCATTCTTCAAATACAACAAGCACATTCAGGGGGACGACACACCTGACAGTGTTGTCCCTTCCTCCACTGTACAGCAAGTTGTCCATCCCCTTCAGCGTGAGTATGCTGCCCCTGTGGCCCCGCAGGACCCGCACGTGCTCCAGGGTGTCCGCCCTCCACACACGAATCATTGAATCGCCACCCGCACTGCAGATGTACTTTCCGCAGGTCTCTATAGAGTGCACGGCACTCAGGTGGCTCCACTTGCCACTGGAGCTTGATGTTGTGACCAGCTCTTCGTCCACGGTATCGGGTCCGAAGTTGAGGCTGTCTGGTTGTAGGTTCTTGACAATAGAATCCTGCCCACCGACGTGGATAGTCCCTTTCGAAACCTGGAAACACACAGATAAGCAGTCAGTCAGACTGCAGTCCTCCAACACCAAAAGCGGTGATGGGCAACTGGCCTCCAAAACGCGATGCAGTATTTTGGACAAAAAATGCCTTGGCGTCTTTAGTTTAATTCTTGCAAAGGCATGTGCACCTATAGTATTGCCAACACAAAAAGCTCTTGTCGGCATGGTGACAGCAACGTCATACAGAGCTTGGATCAGCACAGACAGAAGATGAAACAAGGTAAACTTACTGCAAGAGCTCTCAGGGCACCTGAGCCTGGGACAACGTGGCCCAAGTACACACATCTGTAGGTCTTGAGGTCCCATACACGTATCCTGCTGCCCCCTGTCGAGTACAGGTGGTTGCCGTACACCGCAAGCTTCAAGACAGGCTTCCCGTGGCCCTCCAGAGTTGCTAACAGTGTGCAAGTTTCCACATCCCAGACCTGCATCAGTGGGAATCGTTGTGAAGGAATTTCAACAGATATTGAAAACAGGCCATGTGTTGGAGCAACCCAACACCCAAAAGAAATGCACTGCACCTGGGACACGAGTAGGCAACTACTGACACAAAAGAACCAAATGGCATTCACAAAGCATGATATTGTATACATTAATTCTGTGGCCCTTTTGCTGACCAGCAGTATGTTTTGGGTATCAGGGTACACTGGTTTTAGAAGAACAATGGTTAGGCACAGAGAATCGGATGCCAGGGAGCATGGAACTGCTGTGCAATTCTAACTACTTCTCTCAGAAAGAACACTGCCCTTTGAACTGTTGCATGCTGTCCAGTGCTTTCCAAGAGCACAGTTGTTGGTCCCTAAAGACTCAATGGCATCCATTCCTGACCAGGGCAGTGCAGCACACCAGTACTGGCAATACGCACTTCAACATCCAGAAAGGGACCAGTGCTGCATGGCATAAACCAAGCGATCCTGAGACAGACAGTCCAGAGGAACAAGTCCCCACCTTAATCGTGCCATCAGCAGATGATGAAAACAGACGCTTGCCCTCGGGTTCTAGCTCCATGTAGAGTATTGCAGCTGTGTGACCGGTCAAGTTGTGATCTGGTCTGTCGACCATCATGCATGACTCAGCATCTGAGCCAACACTTCCTTGACGCCCATCCCTGAAAGTCCATTGCCTTGCTGTCACTCCGATGCCCCGGCTGACAGCCTCCAGGCAGCTGTGAATGACACAGCAAATCAGCTCATTTGGTGCCGTCAATATCCAAATCAGGTTCAGTGCATTATCGCAAGTGGCATGATGTCTGAAGCAAATCATGTTCCAATCAGCATCTGAATCCATATTTGCTCTCTCGATTGCAGCCATTCTACCCACAAGGTAGATCGCTCTCAAGTTGGAGACAAATGTGGTCATGCTAAAAAGCAGAAGAAAAAACAAATTCCATCACAATGGTAGCAGTTGATTCAGCAATGTGTTGTTGCAGTGGTATTGACGCCCACAAAAGCACAGAATGAGGCAAGAACAGTACGGCATAGAGTGCACGAAGAGCATGAAAAGGAACAAGCACATAACAGTGCAGAATCCAGCAAGAAAAAATGTGCTGGAGAGGTTGCCTGCCAGAATGCATGCTCTGTAGACCGAGCGCAAGTGCAAACACAGAGAATACGAAATGAAAATGCATCCACTGAGGGAAACAGACACAACAGGCACTGCAAATGTGCACAATGCTTGGCATAGCCTGTTGGCTGCAAGGGTAGTGGTCTGTCATACATTTATGAACATAGTCAGTATGGAACTGCTTGCAGGACATTCACCTCATCAAAGCTGCTACAAATATGACATAGGCTGGCCAACTAAGTTCAGGAGAGACGTGAGCCATGACCACTCCTTTAACACAACTTGCGTGTTAATGTACAGCAATTCATTCTCCATTGCTGACAGGGTCACCAGCATTTGGATATGGCACCATGACCCAGCCTCCAGTCCCACCCAACAGCCCACAAACCCACCGAGATACTTCTTCCTGTCCATCGCACGTCCTTGGTGTCTTCATGATGTTCACAAAGCCAGATTTCTCCCTTGATATCACCACACATGTGTTCTTGGGCACGGCCACCCAATCTGACCTGGAGCCTGTGATGGGCTCTGAGGCAACGATGGCAACACAGGTGCCGCGCACACCGTAGGTCAGCTCGTATTGGCTCTCTCCATGAATGCTGGAAATGGTGGGGGACTCGTCACAAGACTCCTGAGCAGGCATCTCTCGCTGAAAGGATGAACCTGCAGGGTGCATGTGTTGTTATTCAGCAGCCTGGGTACTGTTTCTGTTCTTGTGACACAGGGGTTTCTTGCGCCACTGGGTTCTGGGGAGACTCTTGAATATGAATGTGTCATTCCTCAGCGTGCTGCATTACGATGCCTTCTGAGTATAATGCTATCAGGTGCCATGACGAATGTGCCCTGCTCATGTTGACTGCAAGCATACAACCAGTCATCTTGAACCCAAACTATGCCAACAAAAAGTCAAGCAGCACCTGCCATCCCAGTGCAAACAGCACCCACGCATCTTGAAGGCAATGACCGGCACTTGTGCAGCCAAAGCATTCGCTCACCCCCAATTTGTTTATAGTTCTACACTCACTAACTCTGCAAATAAACCCGTTTGCACAACAGAGAACAGCAGTGGGATACATGTGGCATAGAGGGATTGTGAAAACCAGGCGAGTGCATGCAGACAAAGGCAGAGTGCCACACTACACATACAACCTCACCCAATGCAGGTTGGATACAGTTCCGCACAAGACACAGGGTCTCGTGTGCAAACAACGTTGTTGATGCAGAACGGATATAATGCAAAGTACATAGTGCACTGGGCTCATCAGAGACAACTACGGATTGTTGTACAGTGTTAGAGTTTCAGTAACTGTGGGAAATGGCACTGCTTGCTGGTACCATCCTCTTTGCAAGTCAACGCCTGGCATGGCCGCCTTGAGCCCAACCCACACCCCACCCCTTCCTCTTCTTTGACGATTTGAGGCAATTCGAGCATTAGAATGGGGGTTGCCTTTCTGCAGATCAAGCACACTTTGTGTGTGTGAAATTGTGTGCACCACATCAACCAGTAGGTGCAAAGGCAGTGTGCTGTGAGCTCTCCACAGACACAATCCAAGGCTTACATAGTTACATTGCAAAAAGAGAGTAAAACACAATACTGGATACAGAAAGAGATCAATACTAGGATGTTGCAGTGGCCAGGTTGTTGCCCACCTTCGGCAAAGTACAGTGATGCAGGCTCCTCCGTGTCTGGCGACACATACCGTGTAGCGATCACAGTGTTGCCGTCTGACACGACGAAATTCAGCAGTGACGTCTCAGAGGTCGCCTCCATCTCTTCCTGCACAGAGGCGATGGATGCCAAGGTCCTCTGGCAACACACCCTTCTGTCAGTGCTGGGTTTGGTCTGCTGCATTTTGTTTCAAATTTACTGTACTCCCCGCACTGTTTGAATGCTGAGAGCAGCAACAAGAAGAAAACTTCCAACAAGGTGGAACTACCACATTTCCACCAATGTTACCTACCTTGACGTATGCATATCACGTTGGGGTGTGGGCCATAGTGCCATGCCAGCTTAAAATGAAGCAAAAAGTGAAGCTTAAAGTGAAGCATTCAATTGAATGTTCACACCATTGTATCCAAAAATGTGATGTCAGATAGTGGCAGCACTTTCAGCTCAGCTTCTAGAGTTTGCGCATGTTGATGTCCCACTGATCAAGTGAGGAGGAGACATCCACACCTGCACACTAGAGAACCGGGAGAGCAAATGCGCCCCCATCGCCCATCAAGGGCTCTGGTGCCTGTGTAGTGAATCAGGGCCAAGCAGACCTTTGGCAGAAAGCCACTGGAGGCACCCTCACCTGCATGGCCTGCAGGAGCACATCTGGTGATTGAGGTGCCGTCATGCTGGGGAGGTGATGCAGGAACAGAGCAAAGGAGGCTGCGGAGTCCGAGTGGAAGCTAGCCACTGTATTGTATGCTTCGTCCGACAGCAGCGCCACAATCCGCCGCTTGATCTGGACATCGACGTTGTCTTGTCAGTTCACAGCGTTGCACAAAGCAGCCCCTCTGGTAGCACAACAGACACCACATTGCCAACATTCCTTGCTGTGAACAGGACTGGTATACAGTGGCGTGATAAGACCTTGCAGACTTAAAGAACACAGACAGCCAAGCCACAAGTATTCACAGTTGTGCACAGGATTTGCTGCCAACAAATGGCTGTGGGCAGCCAGTTTTTGACCAGCAAGTCCACCTTTGGAGATTCCTCCATCAATGAGTATTGTGCCAGCACTGAGGTGAGGTTGTCATTTGAATAATAGACAGACTTATGCTCATCTTGATTGCCCACAATTGAAGAGGCCAGCCAAGGCTCCCATCGAGCCACATGCTGTGGAACTTGTGCAACTTTACCAAGGCCGATAGCAACCCTGGCCCTTGAGCGCCTCTGGTGACATTTCCGCTCTCAGAGAAACACGGGCAGGGGCTGCCCAAGAGGGGGGAGGAGGGGCCGGAGTGGGGTCAAGTTAGGAAGTGATGGACTCAGTGGTGCGCATCATTTTTCACTGGCTGGAATGAAGCTTTCCTGTCATGTCACTTGAGTGTACCTTGGATTTCAACATTCTTTTCGTTTGTTCACCAGTTATTGCCTGTATTTCAGACTGGTGGTGTGCAGACAAAACGAATGGCCGAGAGACAGAACACTGTTTTCGGATGTATATACATCTGCTATCACCTGCAAAGTGAAAGGACCCTGGTTTTTCTGGCAAAGGCAAAGTTAAGCAAAGGAATTTACCTCAGGTCAGCCTGGTGAGGACTGTGGCAACGATGACCCTTAATTGGCTGGCAAGGCTGAGAACACAGTTGTCAGAAGCCAGCAGTGCAGTGATAACAGCAGCACTGATACCAGCTGGACTGCTTTTGTTCTCCCCTTGATTGTTTCCCTGAGCAGATAATGATTTGTCAGCTGCATGGTGCAGCAGATGAGACAGTTTGGCTGTGGGTACAGCACTTCAATGGTGTCCACAGCAGGAAAAGATGATACAGGACACCAAAGCCAGTGGGAATTGATGCCGGCTGCACGTTTCTCAGCACTGTCACATGCTGAAACTGCACATGCACTTTCATAATTCTATTTTGTCTACTTCTATACAATTCAACAGCTACACAATCACGCATTTCATTCCATTTCTGTATTGGTACTTGTATAACAGGGATCCAATTCACAACAACAATACCCACCGATCAACACAATAGGGCATACCTTTGAGAATCCTCCCACCACTCCATTGTGCATCCACATGTACCTGCCCCACATGAAGGGGTGGCAGTTCTGCTCGCTCACAGGCATGCCTGGGTAGGCAGCGCGCACATGGGCGAATATAAGTTGCGATGTGATCTTGCGGGAGAGCCGTGCTAGGTTGTCATTGTTCCTGTTCGTGCCAAGTGCCCACCAGACAGTCAAAACCCTCCTCCGAATCTATCAATTGCACCCAGTCCCTGGAGTGTGATGCACTATTTTGGAAAATAGAAGTAGGAAACAGACCCCTCCCACCCCCATCAAATGGCTCCACAAGGTCATTGAGAAGTGTTACGCCATTAACATGTCCGATGTCTGATTTTCACAGGTGATGACGTCTGCCATTGCATGTGCATCACCTCCCCCAACCACCCAAAAGGCCCACTAAAGCACAGAGACTGTATAGGACCTGTTGTTGCCTGTTTTCATGACTGCACGGGATAACAACACCAGAAGTCAAGCTTGCAAATCTTCTGTTGCATCCAAAGTCTCCAAAACTGCCACCTGATTCCAGCATTCTACACTTGAAATGCAGGGCAATGCAAGAAAACAAAGGAAAAGGGTTGTAGCTCATACATGAGCATCTTTCAGCGAATGGCCCAGACCCTCTCAACAATGAGATCGCTGCCCTTGCAGATAGATCAGCAGTGGGCAAGGAGTACTTGCCCTGTGGCCTTCGCGCTTGCCACCTATGACCTTCTCGACTGAAGTTGCCTCACAAGACAAAGATGCATGATGTGTTGTGCGTTTCCTCATACCATCTGAGCAACGAAAGGCGAAACACCTTCCACACTGTGAAAAAAGATGCACAGTCCCTGGATAGGGGTGCACATCATCTGACACGTGTCTCTTATTATTGCACCAACGAATCCTTCTCACAAGGCAAACAATGGGTGTGCACGATGGAAGATGCTGGCAGGCATCTGCTCCCCATCTGCCCACAGCTCCTCCCCACAGCCGTTTCCAAACATTCTCCAAAGCAGCCTGAAGGAAACAACTCACCACGCTGGTGTGACGCTGGTGAAGACACACGGCGAGGTGTCGCTGCCCTCCTGGGAGTACCACCCGATTCCGAAGCCGTCGCCGTTGAGGTTGCCGTGGCACAGGTGCGAGGGCAGGGAGGGGTTCATCTTGCGCTCCTGCGCGTCGTACGACTGCTTGATGATGGACCTGTCCGGCCACAGCACCAGGTGCGCCAGGAGGATGGGGTCCCCCACGTAGGCCAGGAGGCGGCACATGGCGACCGGCCCTGTCCCTGAGGGGCGGCAAAAGGCGGGGTCCAGTCTAAAAACAGAAGCTACTTTCCGTCACGCGAGCCCTCTGCGGCAGCGAGGTGACTTGATGGGGGCATGGGCGTTAGACGACGGAGCCCCGCAAATAGTGGGACTTTGACTGCCAGGGGGTGACGGCGCAATGCGAACCCCGTTCTATGAAACGCGTTCGGGACTCTGTGCCAGGCTGCAGTTCGACTTCGGGGTCTGCAACTGCGACGAGAACCACATGGAAGCATCGACGGCCAAATATGGTCGTGCTGTGATGGCTGCGCTGCGCGGGACCCGGGCTCCATCGCCGCGGGGCTGTTCCGGATAAAGCAGGGGACGATCACAATCAGCCAGCGCCTTGGTCGGAGGGCGAAGGGGGAGACGCCCCGGGCGGGTGCACGCACGGATATGTGACCAGAGAGTCGGCATGCGGATGCCATCCGGCTCGGGCGGACGGTGACGGCCACTTCCTGATGCTGGGCTGCGCCGCGAGTGTTGGCACGGCGGCAAACCGCAGAGACAAGACCCCTAATCGCCATTCGGGAGCGGACTCCGGGTCCCACACCGCAGCCACGGGGCGCATCCGTCACGGCGACGGCCCCTCCGGGCGTGGCTTGAGGTGCATTCGTCGACAATTCGGGGCGTCAGCGCCACGTTTTCCCGACAGGCTCAGGGCACGCAAGGGCCTCTTCCCGGCAGCCCATCCCACCCCATCGTGCGAATATCCGTACCACACGGACGCCCTCCCGGGCGGTAGGTTGATTGGCAGATGCGCCGGCCGTGCGGCTGGACAGGCGCCCTGATACCCAAGAAGCTGATCGATTGGCCCGTGGAGCGCCGCGCGACACGGAGAACTTCCGCAGAAGGGGGAAGGTGGGTTTGTGCCTTTAAGCCTGAGAGCGGTGCCTTGGAGCCGCAGAGCCGCGAGTTGTCCTGGGAGCAGCAGGATGCGGGGTCACTCAGGAAACAAGCTCCGAAGCACTATGATGGTCCACGTTGTCCATGTGTGTCCATGGCGATGGGCGCGAGGGACGCCCGCCTTCTCAACAAGCCCATCGCGCAACCCTAAATATCCCCACGGTTCACAGCACCATGAATTTTGGGCAACGATACAAGCAAATGAGACAGGTTGAGTAATTTTCGACTTCACGACTACCGACTACACTGAGTTGAGCTACCCCTCATCATCCAAGGGTGCAGGGATGGCATCATGGCAGGTGCGCATTGCACACTACGGCTTGGCCCTGGCAAGGCCGCCGCCGGCTCCAAACTCGGTGGCGGGGTGCGGAGCTGTCTCGGTTGGCGCGACAGCTGCATGCGTTCGTCGACCGCGTCTTGAATGCCTTGGAAGGCCAGGCAAGAGGCGCCAGCGATCTGCAGTGCCGTGTAAAGTTTATCTTGGACGTGGGGTAAGGGAAACGCCCCCTCACGATAATGTTCTCAGCGACTAGGGGTAATCGCACAGCCGGGAGACGGGGCATCAGCCGTCCTTTCCCCTCGGCCGGCAGGCTCCGGGGCAGTCGCAGTCCACCGGGCCACCACACAGCAAAGACAGGAACATAAGAGGGGCCAAGGAGGACACGAAGGCCAGGGTTTGCATGAGAACGCTACTCCTGTCACAATTTACACCTCTTTGCTGTTGGACACCCCGCGCCGGGCCGGCGTTTCCCCCGCATGGCTCGGCCTCAGACCTCCAGGTCACTCCGCCGCGCCGATCGACAACGCCCAGCCTCACCAATCCGGGTCCGTAATAGTACAACTACTACCCCTGCCCCAGCCGCAGATCCTCGTCGCGTCCAGCGCGAGCCCGAGAGGAGCCCCCCTCAAAACTCGCCACCCCGAAGCGGTGTTGAGCACAAAAACACCGGGTGAGGGACCGGGGGCCCCCCCGCGCACCTCCAGCGGCAGGGGCCGCGCCCAAATTCGAAAACTCGAAATCGAACCGGCACTCAGGCCCTCTCCCCACGGATCCTCCTCGCCAATTGGATGTCCTTGGGCATGATGGTGACGCGCTTGGCGTGGATGGCGCACAGGTTGGTGTCCTCGAACAGGCCCACCAGGTACGCCTCCGCCGCCTCCTGCAGCGCCAGCACAGCGCTGCTCTGGAACCTCAGGTCCGTCTTGAAGTCCTGCGCGATCTCGCGCACCAGCCGCTGGAAGGGCAGCTTGCGGATCAGCAGCTCCGTGCTCTTCTGGTACTTGCGGATCTCCCTCAGGGCAACGGTTCCCGGCCTGTAGCGATGCGGCTTCTTCACTCCGCCCGTGGCAGGCGCGCTCTTGCGGGCGGCCTTGGTGGCGAGCTGCTTGCGCGGGGCCTTGCCGCCGGTGGACTTGCGGGCGGTCTGCTTGGTGCGGGCCATGGCGACGATGGGCTGCGTCTCTGGCAGGCGGGGGAGGGGCGATCGACGGGGCTTAGGGAGGGTCGCTCGCGCGTGTGCTGCGGGGGCTATGGGACTGCGGGGATGGGGCTGGGGGCTTTTGTAGGGCAGGGGGCGGGCGGGGGTGCCCGCCAGAAACTGGCGGGAATCAGGGGGACAGGAATTGGCGTTCAAAATGCGAAAAAGCGACATTTGAAATGGCGAGGGCAAAAGTGGAGAACCAAGTTGGAGCCGGGATGCGATTCAGGTGATTAGCACCGACCGCAGAAGAATCGCACAAATCGTGGTGCAGCTCCCGCGCACCAATGAAGAAAGTTGCCCCCAGGTTCCAATTTTGCCGAATGCCGTTGCACAGTTATTTTGTGCACCTGAGCAATGTTTGTTCAATGGAAATTTTGTATTTGCAAGCATCTACACACGCAACCTTTCCTACTTTCTTATGTTCGCCTTCGCTCGAGGAGATTGGGCCTGTGATGGGCTCTAATACAACGCTCGGCTTTGTATTCGGTGCCCGGTCCCTCAGCACCCATTTTTGGTGGAAATTTTACGTGGAGGCACTACGTTGGCCCATGCAACACCGAAGAAAATGCGACAATTCCGCGAACCCCATATTTCAGGCGCCAACACATTCGTTGCAACGCTCCACCAAAGTGTGCAAGGTGCCAACGGCATCACCAACGACAGACAGTCCCCCAGCAAGCAGCCGAACCGCAGCCCCTCCTCCCGTCGGTGCCTGGCCCCGCTCACTCATTTCGAATCCACTCCCCTGCACAGGGCAAGATGTTTTCCCAATTTCGAATTTCGAAAACGGGCGGAATGTGAGCCGCCACTGGGGCCCGCCCCCGCGCCAGAAACCACCCCGCCCCGCGCTTCACTGCCCCCCCTCCGCCCTATTTAACCACCTCCGCCCCTTTCCTTCCCCCACTCCGTTACTCTCCCCGACCACCCACCTCGCCGCTGCTCCCCCGCTGAACCCACCCGCTCCGCTCGGCCACACCCGCGCAAGAGACACCATGTCAGGACGCGGCAAGGGCGGCAAGGGCCTGGGCAAGGGCGGCGCCAAGCGTCACCGCAAGGTGCTGCGCGACAACATTCAGGGCATCACGAAGCCCGCGATCCGGAGGCTGGCGCGGCGCGGTGGCGTGAAGCGCATCAGCGGCCTGATCTACGAAGAGACGCGCGGTGTGCTCAAGGTCTTCCTGGAGAACGTGATCCGTGATGCTGTGACCTACACGGAGCACGCCCGGCGGAAGACCGTGACCGCGATGGACGTGGTGTACGCGCTCAAGAGGCAGGGCAGGACGCTCTACGGCTTCGGAGGCTAGGGCGGGCAGCCCGGGGCTCTGCGCCGCGGAGGGGATGGTGTTTTTCTTCTTGTTGGGTTGCTGGCGGTGGCGGTTCGAAACATGTTCCGGTGTTCCATAAACACCGCGGCCGGGGATAAACGGACGGCAGGCGCCAGGGGAGCGGGCCCACCGGCGGTCGTCGCTTTCGAACGGTGCAGGCGGTGGAGACACGACACGTGGCTGTGCTTTGTAATATAGGGGTTTCTCTTTGGTTCCACTGCTGGCTCTCAGCGTGCACTGCTTCTGATTCGTTGTGCTCGGAGATCACCGTGCACTAAGCCCACAGATCGCGGCACAGCTCGCTCCTTCCGCGCGTCCCAAACAGCATGCGTGTCCGCAATGCGATAAGACCACGATTGTTCCAAGGATTGTACCTGCTACATGGGAGCGTCGGCTTCTTTGCCAAAGCTGGGTGATAATGATAGGACAGCAGGGGCATGCTGTGCAACAAACTGCATGGATACCAGCAGGGGATATAACGTACTCTGCAGCTCCATGGCCACTTAACTGTCTGCAGTCACCTTTGCATTTGTCTTGCACACCTTTGGTGACTGTGGTGGCATTCACCCCACTCCAGAGTTCCTTGAAAACCTTTCTAGCTGGCACCTGTAAACAGGATTTGGATCCCCCGAGCCCTGTTTCTAGTCCTGTCACCATGCACTGTGCCCAGCAGGTCCTAAACACTCTAGAACACCTTGTATTCTGAAACACCTAAACTCAGTTTAGGACATCAAACATTGCAGTCCACATTACGACCTGGTTAGCAGTAATGACCAACCAGAACCCTCTGCACCAACCAAACATACATATGGAAGCACGCAGCAATTACCTGCATCATTGAAAGAGTAGAGAAGGGTGCAGACAATTGCAGATGCACATGTGCCAATGCACAGCACCACATCCATACAGTTAATCAATGCATTAATGGCTGATCAGGTAAAGCTTTGTTAAACATATTTCTCAAATATTACAAAACGTGCCCAATCAATCTGACTATGTGTTGAATGCCGCCACAACCAGATAATTGTTCTTGTTCCATGCATTCCACAATTCTCTGTCCAAGAGAAACCACAGTGGTGGCAGTGCATACAATAGACCTCTGCTCAGCCTCACTCACAGCTTTCTGCGGATCAGGCCCTTCATCATATCAAAGCTGTTCCCATCTGGTTGGAGTTCGAATCTCCTCCCATCACTGTCAACTGCCAGAAGAAAGCCATTTGGAGACAATCCCTTGATGGTCACTGACACGATGCTTTGTGAGCCATCTTCCCCCTTCTCTTCTATATCGACCTCCTGTTCGCTGTGCAGCCAGCTGTGGATATATTTGCTCTCTAGTGGCTCAAAACCTTCTTGCTGCTGGAGTGTGCGCAAACCAGATGGCGACCATCGAACCGCAATCAAGCATCCATCACTGGTGCAGCCCTTGGCAATCCCATGAATTGACACTGTGGCACTACTGGTTCAGTTCAACACCAGAACCAGTTGTCCCTCATTGCTAACCAGCTGCTTTCCGAATTTCCTTTGCAGCCAAGTGCCACAATGGCTGTTTTCCACAAAACAAATGTGGGTTTCTCTCCAAACTGGCAGGACTCAAGAGACCTAAAACGTTGATGAGCCCAAAGGGGATACATCACGGAGTTTGGCAGCCTGTTATTTCAAAGATACTGCATAACATGTTATGGAGTGAATATACAACAGGAATTTGGAACCACACGAGAAAGCTGCCTGGAGAAAGCTGCAGGAATCACATTCAGCAGTTGAGGACGCTCACACTGCAAAATAAAATACAATGCCATAGAAGGCCCCAAGCAAGACTAACATGCCCCAAAGATGGATCACACATCATTGAAAATCAGCTGGTACCTGCAGCATCGTTTCCATGTGGTTTAGGATCCCAGCCAAGACGACTTCCCTGCAAATGCTCCCTGGAATGCCGCTGTGTTCCATAAGATCCTGCAGGCAAGTTGTTGGTTGCCTGTTGAGCACGTTAAGGCCCACGCCTGCCTGCATGCAAAGCTTGCCTGCTCCAAATGTGGAATGAATGAGGACGCCCCCCACCTTCAGGCCAGATGAGTACAAGTCGTTTGGCCATTTCAGCTGAAGGGGCGCCTCGTTCCCCTGCATGCAACACTGGCTATGGTCACCATGTCACAAGCACCCTTGACAAAGGCCTCCCCCAGAGCCCCAGGAGCAGGAAGACTTGCCAACGGAGGACTGCCTCATACAGAATCAAATTGCCAAGCGATTGCCATACACATCTGACCAAGAATTGTAGCCTGACTATTTTTAATGCTCCAAATGATGGCGCACATCTCTCACAGCGACACTGAGAATTACTCTCCTATCAGATAACTAGAATAATTCAGCACAGTTTGCTGCAATTTCTGTTGTGCTAAGCCCACATGAGTGCTGCTCTCTCATACTTGAAACCGTTCACAAATTTTCATATGATCAATGAGGTGGCAAAAGACCCGCATCTCTTTGTTGCTGCTGCTCTTGTTGTGAAGAAGGGCATGGGGTGGAGGGGGGGGGGGTAGTGTGTAAACAATGATTTGGCTTGTGTGACAGCTGCTCTTTCTAAATGTATCTATATTGCATGAACACGCATCCGGTGCAGACAGCCCCTGCATTGTCGATGTGTAATCCAGTCCTGTCCATGCTGTGCTCAGAATTTCAAACACCACAATGGTCGTCACCATCAGCACCTGGAACTCCCTGCATATCGTTGACCATTGCAGCTGCAGAGCAACACAAACACCAATGCAACACTGGGAATATGCACTTGCAGCTGTGACCATGCCCAGCAGCGCCAAAAAGGCAGAAATCCAGGGTATTATCATGTTTGGACACATGTGCAAAGTTCGAAATTCAGAGGCAGATATTCTGACCTGAAATATGTCCTGCACTGCCTCCAGAACTGCAAGGGAGATGACATAGTTCAGATACACTGCCAATGGCCCTTGCAGCTCCAAGCTTTTGGTCACAGTGAACATCAGGCAACCCTCAGGAGACTCCCACTGGTTCTTTTGTCGACCTTCAATATGCATTGGCAAGGCAGAATTGAAATCAGAAATGCATGCCCAAAGCAATAAAATAAACTAGTAGAGCACGCAAAGGGTTGGCAATGGATTGCTCCCTGGTGGTGAACAGGTGAATTCAGAGGGACTTGTGCAATGGGGTTGCTGCTGTGTTGTGAACCAGCTCACAAGCTGTTGCCATGTTCACCGCAGTACCAGCAAAAATTTGCAGAAGCACAAATATGGTGGATATATGGATAACGGGAGTACCCAGGGTTGTTGGTTGCCGCAGACATAGCAATCGACATCGTGCTGCACAGGACTGCGGTACTGGAGGAGCAGAGCACCACAAGAACAGGGATCAGGTGCTGGCAGGACTCCCAAACACATCTGGAAACCAGGTTCTACTTCAGTAGTTGAATGCACACAAAAAGGATGAACATGTTGACGTTTTGAGTGCTGGGTATTGCCTAATGAATGTTGGAAAATGCAGCAAGAAACAGCATTTATTTGAAATCAAAGAAATTACATACCAACTAGCATTTCAGTTGCTGCCCCTGTTGTTTCCCTTGGGAATAACAAATATTGTAGACGAAAATTCCGCTTTCAACACTCATTA